TTTTTTGTAGTTTCCGTGCCTCAGAGTTGTTCACTCCCCGACATTCCAAAGCCTCAAAGTGCTGCATTTACCACGTCATTCAGCTTCACGGTCGGTGGTCGTTGTAGTGATAGCAGTTGCCGCAATACATATGCATGTAACCGCAGTATAGCAGTTGTTTAAAGTCTTATACTTCTATTTAGTTAATTATACCCTTAGACCTTGACCCTAAAGACGACAGGCTAGAGTCGCCAGAGCATGGCAAGAACAGTGTTAACCCAGACTCAGGAGCAACTTCGGCATTGCAAGTCCAATCCTAAACCCTCTCAATCCCTGTTCCCTAAACCCTAAACCCCAAAACGACACAACCGTGAAAGCCAAGACTCAGGAACATCATGCTTCCGATTGCGCGTGGTTCGTCAAGGCCGGACGGGGAAGTACCATGATGTCCCAGAAGAGTCCTGGCAGTGGCATCAGGGTTCATCTATGTCTGTCAGCATCCTGTCCTGTGCATTTTGTAGCAGCCTTGACGCTGTCGATCCGATGTGGCTTGGTCCAAGGCCCTCAAGCTCCGTCATATTCCCCGCTTGATCTGTCGCGCCATGGCCGACCAGGACATCGCACGCTCCTGGCTTGGAAGTTTCTCCCTGGCCTTGGAAACCCGTGACTGGGTTCTTTTTAAGGGGTTTAATTTAAGATACCATAATAAGGAAAGCATATTATTTACTATAGATCCCTATCATGGTAACTTACACTAAATCCTTCAACAAGAACCCCAGGTGACTACGATGGGCTCTCAAAGCTGTTTGCCGAGAGTTGCGCGTGGCGAGATCTGCTCTCCTTCACCTGGGACCTCCAGACTACGGAAGGCAAGAGGCCCATCCTCGAGATGGTGTCATCCGTTCTGGACCGTGTGAAGCCACACAGCTGGGTCCTCACAAGAGTGACCGATGCAGATGGGATCATCACCGCTCAGTTCGTGTTCCAGACGGCCTGTGCACGCTGCATTGGGCAGATGAAGCTTCGCGACGGCCTCTGCTGGACCTTGCTGACCGCTGCCCAAGCACTCCATGGGCACGAAGAAAAGCGAGGGCTCTCCAGGGAACTAGGTGGGCATCCGAAGGCCATGCGGCGGCCCGCATTGCCGCCAGCGTGCGCAGAGCCTGACCCCTTCGTCGTGATCGTCGGGGGCAGCCAATGTGGGGTGACTCTGGGGGCCCGGCTGAAGCAGCTCGGAGTGCCCAGCATTGTCCCTTACTGGCTGATTGATCACACTTTACACTTTATGGGGATAATAATATCACCGATATAGATGGAACGATGTTGAACGTTTAAGCTGTTTTGAGCTTAAGAACTCCGCAACTAAGGTCCTTGAGCAGAACGACCGACCAGGGGATGCCTGGCGCCATCGCTACGACTCCTTGCGCCTGCATTTCCAAGTCTCGTACTGTGAGTTCCCTTACCTGCCCTTCCCAGATCACTGGCCGAAGTACCTCACGAAGGACCAGATGGCGGACTGGATCGATACTTATGCAAGCCTGATGAACGTTGATTTGTGGACCCGCTCCCGCTGCGTGAAAGCGGAATGGGACAAGGTGAAGAACAGTTGGACCGTGCATGTTGAGAAGGACCACACACGTGTGCAGCTGCAGCCACGACACCTGGTTATCGCAACAGGCCTGAATGGCACTGCCCACATTCCGAAACTCCAGAATCAGGAGACATTCGCAGGAGTCACCATGCACTCCTCGCAGTATGTCTCAGGCGCATCCCAAGAAGGCAAGAAGGTCGTTGTCGTGGGATCTGGCACTTCAGCCCATGACATCTGCCAGGACTTGTGGGAGCACGGTGCGGATGTGACCATGATTCAGCGCAGCCCCACACCAATCACCAAAGTCAGCACCCATCAGAAGGTTTGCCTGCAGCGGCTCTACTCAGAAGAAGCAAGAGCCGGCGGGATGAGTACGGAAGCGGCTGACTTGGAGTTTATGTCAACGCCTTACCGACTCTCGGCTCCCCAGTAGTACCCTTTTTGCCCTTTTGGTTTGGGGGGTTTGTTTGGGGTTTAGGGTTTAGGGTGTCCTTCAGGTTCCCCAGTGGTACTCTTTTGCCCTTTTTGGTGTGGGGTCCCCTTATTTATGCCGAATAGCAGGAAAAAGGGTACCCTTATGGGGAAAGCCGAATAGTAGGAAAAAGGGTA